AAATCTGGGTTCATAAATTTAAGCATATATAAAGTCGCCGTCAATGGGCAATATCTTGTCTCTGCTGAAAGCCTTTTTCAACAAGTCTAGCCTTGTACCTCTTAATGTCATCAAACTTAGTCTTCACCTGGTACACCCACTTGTTGTGTAATGTCTTCTTCCCTGGTGGTAGTTCTGTCAGCTCCCACTTGCTCAAATTTTCCTCTTGCAAGATTTCCTCATAGTCTTGTGGTTCTTCACCATCTGTTTGTGGAACAATAGAAATTGGTGCCCCGGACCCACTCTCCTCTTCACTTCCATCATCAACAGAACTATAAAATACCAGCAACAGTGCATCATGTACTTCTTTAGATACCACATTTGCGTTATCATTCTCCATCTTCTTGGGATTCCTGCAGTTCCTCTTTATGTGCTAACCTTGCTACAATTCCAGCAGGTTGCCTGTAGATCAGACTTTGATTTTGATCTTCCTTTATTTGAGTTCCTGTCATGTCATCTCCCTCTGAAATCAACATTCATTGCCGAACTCGAACCTGCGATCTCGCTAGAATCTTTCCTGTGCACCTCCTCATGTGCACCTCTTCAGCGAAAATCACATCACGAATATCATCACATTTCAGTTTAGATTGACCTGCATAACTGCTAACTGTCATCATCATGACTTCCCAACTATTTGGCAACGATGCCAACAATATCATCACACGTATCTCATCTTCAAAATCAATTTCAAGAGACGACAATTGATTTGTGATAGTATCGAAATCATTCAAGTGTCGAGCAACAGAAACACCTTCTGTCATTTTCAAATTGAATAACTTCTTCATCAAGTACACCTTGTTATTCACCGATGGCTTTTCATACATACCTGATAAGGCTCCCATGAGAACTGTAGTCGTCCTCTCCTTGATGACGTTGTGTGCAACAGACCTCGATAGGGTCAATTGAATAACCCCCAGAACTTGTCGATCCAACAAAGTCCATTCAGCCTCATCCATCCTTTCAGGTTTTTTCCCAATAACGGAAGATGAAGTTTCTTCCTATAGAGGTAGTCCTCTATTTACCTTTTCCAATAACCAAAATATGTATCTTCAAATTTTTTGATCCCAGAAACCTTCACTTCATTTGCAACTATCATTCTTCCTCAGATTCGAACAAAGCTCTGATATATCTTCAAATTTTTTGATCCCAGAAACCTTAACTTCATTTGCAACCATCATTCTTCCTCAGATCTGAACAAAGCTCTGATATTAGTTGTTGCGAGATAAAATATATCCCAGTTGATGTGGTATATATATAAATCAAACAGGAGAACGATCGACGAAGTGAAAAAATTGAACGAGAAAAATCACACCAGAAGAGAAAACACAGATGTACGTGGTCTTGAGGATTTTACACCAGCCGATCACCTCGACTTACAAGAGGAATCTCTCACTCTTACTTCGTTGCTCTCTCTTCTTCTCTCTCTGTTCTTCTCTCTCTACATTGAGATACACTGAAGAAACTATACACCAAAGAAAATAAACTTACAAGAGAAATAAACTTAATTTCTTTTCAGCGACAAGCCACCAAGAAGAAGCCTAGAGAGAACAATCTTCTTCTTCTTCTTTCTTCTTCCTTCTGCTGCAAGGAACTACCTCTTGCACTTCTCTTCCTCTGTCCTAAAGAAGTCCGAAGAACTCTTCCTCTATCTCGAGGAAACCCAAAGAAGAACACCAAAATGTGACTTCGCTTTTTTTTTTAAGGAGAGTCATGCGATACCTTTTTATCACAAACAGAAGGAAGCGTTCGCTTCACAAAAGAGGAAGGCGGGAGCGGTTGACGCCTACGGTTCGCAACTGGACGCTTCGCTTCGCGCGCGGGAGTGAGCGGAGGCAGAATCGCAAACGAGAGATCGCGATCTGTCTCGATCGTGCTCTTATTTTTTAGAGAATTATTACGCTTCATTTCAATAAAGTTATATATATTAAGTTTAAAAAATAAAATGAAAATTACTCATTTTTAACATTATTAAAATTGTGTTAAACCCATTTTTAAAGTAAATCTAACGTTTTTGAATGCCAAGCTGGAATATATTCTGCGGCTTCTCTTAATCACCCGCCTTAAAACTAGTGCTACAAAGACTGGGGGTGTAAACGAGCCAAACACGAGCGAGCCCTCGTTTATATTTCGAGCTTAGAAAGTGTGTTCGTGTTTGGTTTGTTTGCTTAGCGAGCAGAACACGAGCCGTTCATGAACAAATAGCAGTTTTAACAACCCTAATCACGTAGTCATAAGATGTTAAAGATTAAGACAATATTTAAAACATCATTTGAATCTAATTTAATAATTTTTATTCTACTTCCTTCATTAACACTTTTAATTGATTATTAATCTCTGCAGCCTTGTAGTCAATTAAATTTTTAAAAAATACTATTCATCAAAGATATATATATAAGTGATTAGTATTATTTCGAGCCAAAACGAGCCGAACACAAATGAACAAATATTTGTCATGTTCGGCTCGTTAACTTGCGAACGAGCCCAACATGAGTTTCTTAACAAGCCGAACAAGAGTTGTTCGAGAACAAGCCATTTTGAAGCTATTTAGCTATTTATGTAAAAAGCCTTTGTAATTTTGACGGAATTTTGAAATAATAATGAACTTTAATTCCAAATTTTGGGCAAATCAGTAATTTAAAGATCCAACTGTTTACTGCCTCTGTAATGTATTCCTCCTTAAATGGTTGGAAGTTTCTGCACATCAACCCGCTTCCGTATTTCAACCGCAACTGATCTCTTCCCATTTTCCAGCTCTTTCTTTTTCTTCCCGCATCGATTTGATCAACCTTTTGATCCGACTCATTTCCAGAGAAAGCTTTCCCGTCGAGAATCCCGCCTGAGAGATCGCAGCAGTCCGAGCAGCGGCTCCTTCGATCTGTAATCATGAATAACGAATAGTAAGTTCCTCGAGGTCCAATTTTTTTAATTTCGTCGATGATTTGGAGAGTTTTAGATGTCTACATGGGTTTATATCTGTCCGATGTAGAGGGGAGTCATTTGGTGTTTGTGATATGCTTGATTGCCTGGCGGATTGGGCTGACGTTGCCTTGATTGCGAATTTGAGAGATTGTTTGTCCAGATCTGGACGGCGTCTGCTTCCATGGTGCTATCTGCACCAAATAATTTGTCAGATCTGGGCTTTATATGATATTTTTGTTAAATTTGTGACTTAGGTGGCCTGGTTGTTCTACAATTGATGATTCTCGCCTGTGTTTACTGATTTATGGTTCTAGAATTTTTTTTGCCTATAAAACGGAAATAACTTCTTAATTCCATATAGAATGTGATGGCTATTGCTGGGTGGGATCTCTTATAGGCTTCATCATGTCTTGCTTGAAAGATTTTACGTTTTGCTTGCAAAATTTTGTTAAATTAGTGCAGCATCTTTCATATATTTTATTCTGAATTTGGCAGTACTAGATGTTGAATGGCATGGACCTATTGTTTCTTATGCTTGGACATACATGGGAATGCATTACTGTTTGCAGAAGTCAGCAGTCTTTTTATAATTTTGGTTTTTAGATACCATTTCTAGGACGCGGTTTTCTACAGTGTATTTGAGTGAACATTAACTGTACATGGAGGAATTAGCTACCGAAACTAATGTTTGTGACCGTGGCCTGGAAACTTGCGACTTAATTTGCTATATATAAGGGTATGTCAACTTAGGTTTATGAGTAAAATTGTTATTTTTGAGTAGTGCATTTCCACGCATGTTATGTAATTTTCCTTTTCTCATCAACCCCTCAAATAATTGGGATAAGACCAATGATGGTGATGATGTTAAAAAAGAAAGCATCTTCAATTAATTGTCAAGTAGAATGAATCATAAAATAATTAAAAAGGGAGTAAGTATTATAAAAGAGAAATTGAAAAGTATAAGGGACGATTACATAGAGGGCATCCAAAACATTACTCGTTACTATTTACAAGTCAAGCACCCTCTTTCATCTATTTTTCAAACTCCAAACCATATTTTTTATTTTTATCAAACTCACAATAATTTGATTGTGGCGCAGGTAAATGTTTTGGTTTCATAGTTCAAAAAATTGCCCAAGCTCTTTATTTTTAAATATCAATGTTTATTGTGCTCTGAATGTGATTATCCCAAAGTTTAAATGGTTAGCTTATATAAGCCTATGTCCACGATCGCACGAAGATTAAATAATTTATTGAGCTTCAAAATAGATATATGATGCGATTACACTACATACATTATTGAAAATATTGATAAAATATCACTTATCTAATTGAGAGAATTAAATTGCCTCCTATCCTATACAAGGGAAAGCTAGAAGTGGAGAATGAGATGTTGTTGCTATAGTTACCATCTCTCTCTTCTATTGTAGGAATTCAAATGAGTGTTATTCCTTAATATGACCAAGAGCTTCTTCTCTTGCTTGAATTGGAACCAATGGCACTTTTTTATTTTAAAGAAGCTGAAGAATTTCTCTTGCAAGCACCCTGAAGAACTATTGCTCTCTTTCTAAAATAACACTCCTTTACTCTTTCTTCCTCTCCATTTTTTTTTCTTTTGGGATGCATGAAACTATTGATTTATTCCTCTTTGTATGGTTATATCATAAGGTGGTAAGTGAGAATCATTAAGTATGAATTGAGCCTGAGTTAGATAACCACCATTTTGAAAAATCAAGTGTGAGTTTGGGTTTTGTAGTCACCATATTAGAAAATCAGTGTGACTGAATGTTAAGATGGTAATTTCTAATGTTAGAAATTAAGTTCAAACTTTAATCAAAATAGATAATAAAATTAGACTTTACATTTAACTGATGCTGTTGTAGTTGCAATGAGTTTTTTTTTATTGCTATATCAGATTTATTTGGTTGGAGGTAGCTTTCTTTATTTTCTTATAAGTCAGACAATTTTGTCATTGGGATACCAATAGTTTATATAAATAAGTATATTCTTCATGTGGTTTTTCAAATATCTATATCTCTATGCAAACTATCCATTTACTATTTCCGTCTGATTATTAGATGATGCTTTGATACAGTAAAGTGGGGAGTGAAGATGGTATAACTTATCCTATTCCATTTATTATCCAGCAAACCATTTTTATAGTTAAATTAAAATTTTGCACATGTATGTTCATAATAATGCTTTGGCTCTTATGCCTCAATCTTTTGTGGGAGAGAAGCTCAACTGTTTTGAAATGATACTGCTTTCAAATTCTCTCTTCTCTCTCAGTGTTTTTATTCTGAAAATGATTCATCAAAAGCTAATAATTTTTAGGAGAAATATAATTACTCTGTTTATTTGCAGTGATTATCTGTTTAAGCTTTTGCTTATTGGAGACTCTGGTGTTGGAAAGTCCTGCATCCTTCTAAGATTTGCTGTAAGTAGAGCATTTTTGTTTTTATGTTTTCTGCATTATTATATAATGTTAGCTAGCTAAAAATTTTCTAACTGCCTGTACCATATTTTAATGTTTTTGCTCTACTTTATTTAATGTTAACTAACTGTTTTTTAATGTTTTATATCTATTATATATTGGTAACCAGATAACATATTGTTTGTTACCTATGACCCTTCTGTAAGCTTCTTGTGAAATAAATATCATACTAATAAATCTTGGTTGCCTCTTTAATGCATCACTTGTGTTTTATCCAAGCATTTACTTATAATAATTTAGTTCTTTCAAATTTGAATTATTTGATGCATGCCTCGTAAAGTTTTGCCTTTATTTTATGCTCTATATGATTGGTTTCTGTTGAGATTTGTATCTTATATGGGGTTCTATTTGTAACTAGAAAAATTTTAGGGGTTTATTTGTAAATGTTGTGTGGCTCTATATTAGCCAAAATGTTAATGAAATGAACAAGATGATTATTACAAAATCATTTCCAATATGATATGAGAGCCCTAACCTTCTGCCCAGCTTGATCGTGATCGGCGTTGTTCGTCCTTTCTTCTGCTTCGTCCTTGCGAAGCAACCACTACTAGTGCTTGCTAGGAAGGCAACGAGAGGATCATGGCTCACAGGGAAGAGGCTTCGGGTTGGGATCAAGAAGCTTGATTTCGTGAAAAGAAGAAGGATCGCGCAGGGAGGTCGGTCTCTGTGGGCAGGCGATCCCGCCACGACTGTCACGCAAAGGGTTTTCAGGGTGTGCGGCTCGGTGTGAGGGATCACACGACTCAAAAGGCACGACAGAGGAAGATCGCGACGCTTTGCGAATGGAGGCATTTCGGTGCAAGGTAGATTGCGTGAACAGGCAAAACATCGAGATCAATGCGAGGAGCACCGAGAGGGTAGAAGAAAGCTTCTGTGTATATTCTTTGGTGCGGGGAGATTGGACTTGTGGGGCTAGTGCAGAGCACTCGATTTAGACAGAGAAGGAAGATTGTGGCTGCTGAGAGTAAGGAAGATCATAAGACAAACTTCAGTGTGTAATTTGATCGCGGGATTGTGCAAAAGGGGCTCAGGCTGATGCAGGGCAACACCATGCAAATTATATTCAACAGGGAAGGCAGCAAGATTTTGCGATTGTGAAATTTTGTATTGGATTTTGAACTGTTTGAGTGAATAGAGACATGCAATCTACTTTGTGTGGCATGCGATCGACAGAGCCGTGTGAGGGAAGCAGGGAAAGCTTTGATTAGAATGGTCCACACGAAGGATTTATGACGACAAGGAAGAACAACGAGAAATTAACTGCATCAAGTGCAGGTACCTAAAAACAAAGGAGCATGTGCTCAGGAGGAGACCTGTAGGTGTTACAATTGTGGAGAAATGGAACGTCTGATCAAAGCTTGTCCAAAGCCACCGAAGGAGAGAGAGACGGGTGGATGTGGATCGTCTAGAGGGGGCTATCGAACAAATCTGTTGTCAGTGAGAATGCATCCACCTTATTGTCATCCAAAAGGAACACTGCTAGTTATTCTCACTCAACCAAAGGTGCATCACGCTCGTGATACACATGCTATTGCCTCTATGTCCAAAACAAGTTCACCATAATGGATAGTATATTCTGGTGCATCTCGACATGTGACAGGTGTCGCTAGTGAGTTCTCGTCTTATACTCACCCATCCGTTCCATAGAATATTCAGACCACTGATGGGACAACCCAGCCTGCTGATGGTAAGAGTACAATGAGGTTACTAATTCTATGACTTTGTCAAATATTTTGCTTGCTTTTTTGTTTTCAGTGAATCTATTATCAATTAGTGTCATTATACTCAAATTAAAATGTGTTGTTTTATTTGAAATTCCAAATGTGATCTTTCAAGAGAAGGGTATTGACTGGAAGCTTGGGATTGACATGTGACATAGTGGACTCTGTTACTTGGATAGAGAGAGGATGAACTCTGCCTTAGTATCAATGGTTGAGAATGCTGGAGCATGAGGAATTAAGGGAAGTTTGGAGAATTTATTGCTGCTACGTCACAAACGCATGAGAGACTCTTCGCTCAATCTATTGAGTCGTATGTATCCATCATTATATAAAAAAGAAAATAAACAAAAACTTGTTTGTGATGCTTGTGAGTTTGACAAGCATATCAGGAGCTCATATGTTAGTTATGGTAAACATAGTTCTCATAATTTTGATTTAGTACATTCATATGTATAGGGAGCTTGCTCTACAATTTTGATGAATGGTTACAGATATTTTGTAACTTTCATTGATTGTTTTTCTCGTGTTACTTGATTATATCTAATGAGAAATAAAAGTGATGTGCATGCCTATATTAACTTTCACAGGGAAATTCAAACTCAATACGGTGTTGTAGTAAAGATATTGAGGTTTGATAATGAGACAAAGTATACTAACAACGCGTTTGGGGAATACAACATCAAACTATATGTTCATACACACCGACACAAAACGAAGTGACAGAAAGGTAGAATAAACACCTTCTAGAGGTAGCTCAAAGTATGATGATCACGATAAATGTCCCAGAGCACTTTTGAGGGTAAATAATTTTGACATCGACTTAATTGATCAACAAAATGCCCTCGAGAGTGTTAGATTGAAAGTCTCATTGTCAGATGTTAAAAATTGACAATAGTAGTATCATTCCATTGAAGATCTTTGGATGTGTATGCTTTGTGAAAGACAACATACAATGAGACTATTATTGTCACTTTTCAACATTTATAGGAAAGTTGAATTCTAGAGCTGTGAAAGTAGTCTCATTGACAATAGTAGTATCACTACAACCACTGAGAAAGTAGGGAAGCATACTAGGTATTTGGATGTGTATGCTTTGTAAAAGACAACATACAATGAGACTATTATTGTCACTTTTCAACATTTATAGGAAAGTTTAATTCTAGAGCTGTGAAAGTAGTCTCATTGATCAATAGGAAAGTTGAGCTGGTTGAATCAATACTACTATTGTCACTTTTCAATGAGAATTTGAACCATACTACTATTGATCAATGAGACTACTCTTCTGAGATTACTATTGATCAATGAGACTACTATTTGAGGTATTTTGATCAATGAGACTACTATTTGAAGCATACTATAGTAGTCTCAACTATTGATCAATGAGACTACTATTGATGAATCTACTATTCATCAATGGACTACTATTTGAGGTATTATGATCAATGAGACTACTAGTATCAAACTACTATTGATCAATGAGACTACTATGTGAAAGTAGTCTCAGAACTGGTTGAATCAATACTTGAAGAGTAGTCTCATTGATCAATGGTTGATCAATACTATAGTAGTTGATTCAAATTTCCAGTAGCGAAACGTGTGTTCGTGAGGTATTTTGCAACTCAGAAGAGTTATGTATACTGGAGCCCAATTGAAGAGACTCTTTGTGAGTATGGGCATGTTATGTAGAGAATTTGAACCATACTACACTGTGGAGGTGGATTCAGGTTTCGGTGACAATCACTGAAGATATGAGTCAAGAGAGAGTGAGTAGTAGTGGTGATATAGTGGTGCAAGTTGGCACAATGCCATGTCCTGTGATATGAGATGAATCAACTGAGAAGACAGAAATCAAGAAGGTTGAACCCAGAGGTGGTGGGATTCAAGCTGAAGGTGAGCTAAGAGTGTATACTTGGAGGAAGAAACAAACTGAGGGAACATAGTTTGTAGTGTCAATAAGTCTTTTATCCCGGTCTTTCCCAACTCTTGAGATGCCTACACCATTCACTTTTAATTCAAAACTTTTAGGTGATATTGTTCCTCCGTTTACTCCAACGTTAAGGAGGTTTTACCGCAGCTATGCGGGGCATCTTTCTGATCGTTTTGGGTGGGGAATTGACATTGCTAACTTTGTTTCTTATTCTAACATCTCATCTTTACATGAAATATTTATTGCATCAATGGACTCTGTCTCTATACCCAAGTGTTGGCAGGTAGCTAAGGAGAATCCCAAGTGGAAGCGACAATGCATGAAGAGTTTGGGGCTCTTAATAAAAATCAAACATGGGAGATTGTACCACTACCAACAGAGAAGAAAACTGTTGGGTACAAGTGAATCTTCTTGGTGAATCAAACTTCATAAGGGAAGATGTAGAGATATAAAGCTCAACTAGTGGCAAAAGGGTATAGTCAGATATATTACATTGACTATGATGAAACCTTTGTACCAGTAACAAAGATGAGCACAATAATGACACTGGTTTCTCTGACAGTGAATGGTGGATGGAGGTTACACTAACTTGATTTGAAGAATGTTTTTCTTCATGAGATCTACTTGAGGAGGTATATATGGAGATGCCACCAAGATTTAGTACATCCCAAGCAGTGAGCAAAGTGTGTAGGCTCAATAAGTCAATATATGGTTTGAAGCTGTCTTCTCGAGCATGGTTTGATAAGTTTAGAATGACGATGATTGACATGGGATATCAGCAGATCAATATAGATCATACGGTGTTCTTTTGATGACATGAATGCCACATTATCATACTTGCTGTGTATGTAGATGACATAGCTGTCATCGGTGATGATGAGACAGAGATTGCTCATATGAAAGGAAGACTGGATTCAATTTGAGGTAAAGGATCTTGGACAACTCATATATTTTTTTGAGATTGAAGTGACATGTGGTTCTGACAGGATGATCTTATTTCTGAGAAAATATATACCATATCTCCTCATGAAAACAGGTATGTGGAGGTGCAAACTTGCAGTCTCTCTAATTGATCAGAAGATCATGCTGAGTGCAGAGGCAAGAGAACCTGTTGATCGTGAGAGGTACTATAAACTGGTGGGCCGCCTGATCTATTTGTGCTACACTCAACCTGATATTTCTTTTGCAATAAGTGTGGTGAGCCGTTGCATGCATGATCTAAGGAAGGGTCATATAGATGCAGTGTATCAGATCCTGAGATACTTGACAAGTGCACCAAGAAAGGGGTTGATCTT